CTATGTCAACAAGGACAGCAGGTCTCAGCCCTCTGCTTCTACCTCTGCCTCCCCTTTAGAGATGGGAGGAACAGCACCATGGAGGGCAGCAGAAGGAGCTGATGCACTCCCATAGGTTAACATCATGGCCTCGGGAGTTTCTGAACTAACGCAGGTAAGTGGTAAGGCAAGTGCTTTCTACTGACACCAGGACTTGTGGATCCTGAAAGTTATGAACTTGGTGCTGAGTCTCCACTCCTAGGCAGGATGCTATGTCTAGAGTGTGGGGAGAGATTAGCAGTAAGTGCCTGATTCATACACTAAGCTCTTCAATGGCCTCTGAATTGCCAATGACACACATGCACAGATACGAGGAACATCTTCCAAATCCAATGGGTACATATTAGGTAATGCACCTGCTTCTGATACCTTGGGTGACACCCTAGAGATTCCAGAAGTGTCACTGGAATCTGGCCAAGCGCAATCTTAGGGATTCCAGGCAAGGAGGCTGGCAACTGGGTAGTAACTACAGCAAAGTATAATTGTCCCAGGACTCCTGCTCCTGCCTCTCCCCAGGGCTTCTCTGTGTTCACCTGCCTTCTCCCCCAGGTTCCTGCCCAGCCCCAAGGAGCTAGAAAGTCTGAATCAGGATGGTAGCTTAGACTGAAGTTAGTGCTGGCATATAGCTACATGAATCAACCAAGTTTCTACAGTCTTACCTGAGATTAGGCCATGATTGACAATACTGCTACTCCCATTGAATTCCTATTAACAGAGTCAAAGAGCTTTGGAAACAGAACCTTTTAAGAAACTGGAGACTCCTGTTAACCATGATCCTCGTGGCTGGCCTACACTGGCTACCTGACTATCCAGTATAGGGACTCAAGGTCTGTGTCACAGCCCAAGGTGGTAGCAGCCCTGATGCTTCACCCTCTACAAGACACGTGTGCTGCAGAGGCCTGGACTTCTCCAGGTTCAAGGTTCTAAGGCTCCTTGGATTTATGGTACAGGAGAGCTTGAAGAGACTACAGGGTGAGCACCACCAGAACAATCCATAGCTTCTCCTGAGGTCCCATTTCCTGCAGCAGAAGCCTCTTGGAGGGTGCTCTCCTGCATGTGTGGGTGGAGCCAGTTCCTTAGGTCTCCATGTTGCTCCCCAAAGAAGATAGTCTCATCTGAATGACATTCCACTCCCACTTCAAAGACACTGAACTTTCCGTACCCTCTCTGTCCTCTCATTGCTTCCTCAACCCTTATCACCCATCAAGCTCACTGATGCTCCCCCAATAGCCTCAGCACCCACCTTTCTGGCTAAAGCTCAGATCCCTACTCTTTGCTGAGCTCTCACAGACTCCCTCCTGTCCCCCTCCTTACACAGCAGACAGATATGACTCAGAGATGACCTGCGCCTGATGGACTCTGAGCTCCTGTGCACAGAGACTAAATCAGTCTCACTCAACAGACAGTATTTGTTTTATTCATTACTTACTATTGCTGTGGAGACCTTAAGACCAAAGAAGGCAGGGGCCAGAACTCCTGTGGGTCATTCTTTAGAGACCTTAAGCACAGTAACTTAAGGTCTCTAAAGAATGACCCACAGGAGTTCACATGAGGACAGGACCACACACTTAGAGGAGGACAATAGAGACAAGAGAAGCAAGTGGGGATAGAGTGGAGGTGGGGAACAAAGGCAGGTACTATCCTACTCCGTATTAAAGTAAGCAGTAAAAAATGATGAGGCTGGAGATGGCTCTGCTGCTCTTCCATAGGTCCTGATTTGGTTCCTAGCACCCATGTCAGGCAAATTACAACTTCCTGTAACTCCCAATACTAGAGGATCCAACACATTCTTCTGGCCTTAGCATAGACATGCATACATTAAAAAAAAATAAATTTGGCCTGTGCTGGCTCATTTTATGTCAAGGTGATACAGGGTAAAGTCATCTGAGAGGGAACCTCAATTGAGAAAATGTCTCCATAAGATCTGGCTGTAGGCAAACCTGTTAGGCATTTTCTTAATTAGTGATTGATAGGGAACGGTCCAGTCCATTGTGGGTGTGGCCACCTCTGGACTGGTGGTCCTGGGTTCTATAAGGAAGCAGGCTGACCAAGCCATGAGGAGCAAATCAATATGCAGCACCCCTCCATGACCTCTGCATCAGCTCCTGCTTCCAGGTTCCTGCCCTGTTTGAGTTCCTGCCATGACTTCCTTCAATGATGGACTATAATGTGGAAGTTAAGTAACCCCCAACCCCAAAGGTCATGGTGTTTATCATAGCAATAGTAACCCTAACTAGAACAGTGGTCCAAGCCTTGAATCCCAACACTCAGGAGGAAAAGGCAGAGGAGTTTCTGAGTGAGGCCAACCTGGTCTACATAGAGTTCCAAGACAACCAAGGCTACATAGTAAGTTCTCGTCTCAAACAAACAAAACAATGAAAAAAAATTAATCAAACTGCCTTTTAAAAAAGAAAATAAAATGATCAAAGTCAAACTCATCCAAAGTCACTGTAAGAAGGGTTCTAGTAAGCCAGGCGGTGGTGGCGCACACCTTTAATCTTAGCACTCAGGAGGTAAGGCAGGTGGATTTCTGAGGCCAGCCTGGTCTACGGACTGAGTTCCAGGACAGGCTCCAAAGCTACAAAGAGAAACTCTGTCTCGAAAAAAAACAAAAAAAAGGAAAAAGAAAAAAAGGATTCTAGCCCCAGACAGTGGCAACACAGAGGTCAAACTGTGACCCAGTACTTCAAAACAAGCCACAAGAGCCAGTTCAGCATTAAAGTGTATTCTTCAGCCGGGCGGTGGTGGCGCACGCCTTTAATCCCAGCACTCGGGAGGCAGAGCCAGGCGGATCTCTGTGAGTTCAAGGCCAGCCTGGGCTACCAAGTGAGTCCCAGGTAAAGGCGCAAAGCTACACAGAGAAACCCTGTCTCGAAAAACCAAAAAAAAAAAAAAAAAAGTGTATTCTTCAACATCTAATGATTTGTGACCACACCAATGATCACAGTGCAGCTATGCAGAGGGGACTCTGAGAGCTGCGTGAGGACAGTCCATTTATGAGGTAAGGAAGTTGAGGTTCTGAGATGTGACATTCACAGTCTGTCTGGTATCTAAATCTCTGCTCATTGTCACAGTGCTGCATCTAAGACAGAGCTAGAGCTGATGCACAGACAGATGCGCAGAGCAGCAAGAGCCTGCTTTCCAGATGCTTCAGATAGAATGTGCAGAAGCCATGTGTGCCAGTGTCAGAAACTGAGTGATACCCCATTCTTCACTTCAGTGATGTCAGGTTGGTTGCAATAAGGGTGGTAGTGATGGCTATCTCCTCCTCCAGGTGCTCACGGCCCCCCTTTCCTCCTTGATCCTTCTCCTCCCTCTTCTTTTTACTCAAGAGTTCATTTCCTGATACACACTGCCCATCACTAGTTATTAGGGCAGCTACTTACACTCAGACTACTATTCTTCATACAGATGCATCCCAGTGCACATGGACACACATCTGACAGTGGGAGCCATTTTGCTCACGGCATGTTTTAAACATGCAGCTACAATTTGGCAGAATGGAATATTTAACCTGGTGTTACTTGAGATACCTATGCTCTATATGGAGTTCACATAAACTTAACTTAGACCCCAGTTCTGCAAGCAGTCTCAGAATGCTCCTTCCAAGGCCTGGAATTCCTTCTTCAAGTCTCTTTGGCTGCCCAGGGTCAGCTCCTCCCCAGCATGTGCTCCCATGATTATGCATGTGCTCTTAACAATCCTGAAGCTCTAGGGCGTCACCCGTCACTACTCCCACACCTTCAATGCCCATGTGTCTCCCTCTTCTTCTTCTCCATTAGTCTCACACACCCAGACACCTGCACCTCATTTTATCCTCCTACTTACCACAGAGACAGTTGCTTTCAGAAGCAAACCTGGGTGCTGCTGATGGAAGGCACTTTTCCATCATGACTCTCCCCAACTCATGGCCACAGCCAGCCATCTCATTAGAGTCCACCCTCCTGAAAACGGCTTCCTGCCTTGCCTCCACTACTAGCCTTCCTCGGCCATTTTCTCCGGTTTCTTGCTGCCCCTTAAACAAATCAGGAAGCTAGGTGCCGTGGAGGTCAGCCTCGGATTACATGGCAAAACCCTGACCAAAAGTGTGTGTGTGTGTGTGTGTGTGTGTGTGTGTGTGTGTGTGTGTGTGTGTGTGTGTGTGTGTGTAACTGCATAAGAATAAATTCAAAGAACGAAAAAAGAAAAGGTCTGGGTGGACCTGCGTGTGCACTGTCTGTTCCCACTTCTAGCAGCTGCCCAAGACTTCGCAGGGCTTGCACTCTTGTCTCCTCCAATCGCTCTCTTTTTTTTTTTTTTTCGTTTTTCGAGACAGGGTTTCTCTGTGTAGCTTTGCGCCTTTCCTGGATCTCGCGCTGTAGACCAGGCTGGCCTCGAACTCACAGAGATCCGCCTGGCTCTGCCTCCCGAGTGCTGGGATTAAAGGCGTGCGCCACCACCGCCCGGCCTAATCGCTCTCTTAAGATGCCATCTCTCCTGCTCCTTCTCCTTTCCCTCCTTCTCTGCTATGTTTTTCTTATTGTCTCTTCTCCATTGAGGAGTAACCTCCACCAGGACAGATGAAATCAACTCTACACATGCAGCGTTCCAGCCAAGACTGAGAACAGGCAGGAGCCTGCTAAAAGGCAGACCAGCATTTGTGGAGTGGAGAATGCTGTGGTTTGGAACAACTGCCCTCTAGTGGTACAATACGCCCACTGCCGACTTCACAGTATCTATGAAAGTTGATTTCGAATACGTCAAGCCCACCAGCGAATAATCCCTCTTTATGCTTTAAAAAAAATAAAAAATAAAAAAACACCCACAAATAAAGCAAAAATCAACCAAAAAAAAAAAAAAGCCTTCCCTAGGGCTATACTAAGAGATTAAGGACCCCTCTGAAGTAGCATTCTGATGCTAACGGTGCGCAGAGGTTAAGATACTGGGGCAAGAGAGCGTGGGAGATGGGCAAAGTTACGCACTCAGGTGCTGGGCTCCAGATGCTGGTGGCTCAGAGGCCCCGCCTGCCCACTGCCGATCGCTCTCTATCTGCAGATTCACGGAGGTTCCGCGTCTCGGTTGGCTCAGCTGTGGGGAAGGGTCTGGGCCTACGGGCAGCGAGTCTAGCCGGCTGCAGAAGCAAGTCTGAAAGCCTTAAAGACGCAGGCCTGGGGCGTCGCGTCCTAGCCTTCAACACGATTCGAGAAGGCCACCTGTACCTGCCGGTGGACTATCCCAAGACGTTCTTTTCACGGTCTGCAGCGGCTACGCGTGTCCAACCTCAAGACGGCTCGCGCAGACGCAGTCGGCGTACGGTGCGCTCCCGGCAGCCCCCGCGGCACTGGCCGTCGGAGGAGGCGGAGGGGGATGACGTCATCCAGCGGGGCGACGGACATTGGGCGCCATTTTGAAAAGGGAAAAAATTCCCTCCCCGGCAGCGGCGGCGGCGGCGGCGGCGGGAGCGGCGGCGGCGGCCGAGGCTGAGCGCTCGTAGCGCCTCGGTCGGCCGCGCTCAGCTGGGCGCGTCCCGCCCGCGCCATGGCAGGTAAGAGCCGTGCGCGAGCGGGCGGGTGGACGGACGGTGGTGGGACGGGGCGGGGCCGGCCTGACGGCGCGCTGTGTTGCAGGAGCCGGAGGAGGCGGCTGCCCGGCGGGCGGCAACGACTTCCAGTGGTGCTTCTCGCAGGTGAAGGGCGCTGTCGACGAGGACGTGGCGGAAGGTGAGACCCGACCGACCCCCTAGCCCCGGGAGCAAGGTCACGCTCAACCGCCGGCCCGAATGCGGCCGCCTGTGCCCTCCTGGCCGGTGCTGTCCTGGGAGACCCTCGGCCGGCCAGCGGCTGAAGAGAGGGCGGGGCGGCTGTAGGGAGCCTGCGTGGGGAGAGACTGCGGCGGAGGCCCGCCTCGGGGATCTGTTGGGGAGACGGCAGTGGGCGCTAGCCTTGCGAGGCTCTGGGGGGATGGCCATGGACGCCAGCCTCGGGGGGTCAATGGGCAGATGGCCGTGGACGCCAGCCTCGGAAGGCTGTGGGGAGTCTGAGGAGGTAAGGCGGGAGACACAGATCAAACCATGCGGGGTAAAGTGGGTAGATCTATGGCCACAGGTCTCTGGAGTCTAGGGTGTACAACTGTCTTGAATGCAGGCCCCCAGAGTCTGTAGGGAGGCAAGGCTGTAGACACTGGTCTCTGACTGTGACCCTGGGATTGAGCTAAGAGTTGGTACTGTAGGGTAAGATGAGGCCCATATGTTGGGGGGTGGAGGGGCATGGCCGTTGGTCTTGAGGCCCTGTGGGGTAAATCATGTCTCACACACTGATGTAGGGGCCTGTGTGGTATAAAAGGGGACCGTGGACTCTGGTCTCTTTGGGGCCTGTACAAGGGAAAAGGAGATCCATGCAAGGTTATTGGTCTCTGGGGCCCATTCGGTGCGAGACTGAACTCTTGAGATATTGGGTGCCCTCCTCAGTGGACGTAGGCGTCCCACTGCCCAGTCCAATCTCAAGCCAGAGAGACACTGGTCAGCCCTGGGCTAACATCTCTTGGTCCTGAGGTCTCCCGAAGCTCTGCAGTAGCGATATTCCACTGCTGAGTGTCTTCTCTTCCTCTGCTGCTCTTTCAAAGTCACTCCTCCAGACTTCGTTCTCGGGTTTTTTGGGTTTGTTTTGGTTGGTTGGTTGAGAAAAGTTCTTGGTTTTGTAGCCCCGGCCGGCCTTGAACTCCAAGGCCATCGAGTCTGCCCCATCCTGCCCAAGTGCTGGAATGTCAAGCACACACTTAACTTTCTTTTCTACGCTTTTATTTATTTATATTGTGTGTGTGTTTGAGTGTGAGTGTGTACTTTACCCTGCACAGGTCAGGGTTAAAGGACAACTTGTCGGAATTGATTCTTTTTACCTTATGAGTCCCAGGGATTGAACTCGGGTCATCATCAGGCTTAACAGCAGTTGATTTTACCTGCTGAGCCATCTGACCAGCTCAAACTCCTTCTGAGGCTGGCCTTGAATTCTTTTTGTTTTTGTTTCTTAAGATGGATTTATCAGTGTGACAGCCCTGGCTGTTTTGGAATCAGCTCTGTATACCAGGCTGTCCTCAAACTCATAGAGATCCGCCTGCCTCTGCCCGGAATTAAAGGGGTGGGATGTCAGGAATGCTAGGATTAAAGGCGGACACCACCACACCTGACTTTGGCCTTGAATTCTTTGGCGTTCACCACAATGCCCTGCTTTCCGTAAGACTTTGTTGCTTTGTCTTTCCCCTAATCCCAGCTTTAAATGTGCTGTGGCTGGAGGTTAGTAGACAAGGAACTAAGAGAGCTTGAGGGTTGTGGAATCCATTCTTAGAGCATTAGCATTTTATAGTAGAGTCATTGAAACTTGTTCAGCCATCTAATAAACATGGACCTTTGCCTTTCTTTTGAAAGAAGTCTGTTCACCCCACCCACTGTCCTTGCCACCAGCAGCCTCTTCTCAGATGTCTTGTCCTGCTTCTTGTTTCCCCCTTCACCCTGTGTCTTCCTGCCAGTGTCTGGCCTGACTCATGATCCTCGAGAACATCTGGAGGTCTGTGGTCCCAGGGGACAGACAAGACCAGACCAGGTGAAACTGCTCTCCGGAAAGTCGCAGAGATACGTGGTTTGAGACTGAAGCCAGATGACTTTTATGTGAAGTAGTTTATTGATTTTGTTTCTTCTGTGTTGGCATAAAATGTATTACTGTGTTTCATTTTGCATGTGCCAAGTAGGTGACAGGTCAGCCTTACTTCTGTGATTATTGTAGCTATGGGAATAATGGTGGTAGGAAGGTGGGTTGGCCTTAATTTCTGGTTTCTGTATGGTTTGGTTTGGTTTCCATTGATAAGTTAAATGAAATTAAACTGACTTTATACTTTGGAAAATGGTATTCTTTCCTTTATAAATCTTGACAGAAATATTTTGTTGCTTGTGGTAAACTGATTAGAACTTCTTGTGTTGTGTTTTGTTTTAAGTTTTGTTTTTTGGTTTTTCCAGACCGGGTTTCTCTGTGTAGTCTTGACTGTCCTGGAACTCTGTAGACCAGGCTGACCTTGAACTCAGAGATCTGCTTGCTTCCACCTCCCACCGTAAAAGGTTGTGTTGAGACTAAAGGCGTGTGCGCACCACCTCTGCCCATCCTTTGTATTATAGTAAAACTTTGAGTACATCTAAAATTTTAGTTAGCAAGTCTTTTGTATGTGTGTATAATATTGTGATAATTACCTGTATTTTTCTTTTTAATTGTATGTTCACAATTTTCTGTTTAACACATACTTCTTAAAATTCATCATTTATAATTTCATCGCTTTTTGTCAGACAGAGCTCTGGTATTGTTTGATTTATCAGTGATGGTTTAAAAAGGCAAAGGTAGTCATTGGCAACTAGGACTTGTTGTAGCAACAAGAATCACTGCCCCAGTCCTATCCAAACTCAAGCATGAAGAAATGTTGGTGAGAGATAATTAAAGGTGGCATTTCAAGGGGTTTATTTCGTGTGCTGATGCTTGGATTTGAGAACTGAAGGTATGGCAAAATTTATCTGTTGAAACTTGTAGCTTGTGAGACTTTTTGCTCAGCTCTGCAAAGTTCCATGTAGCGCTGCTCCTGCTTGTCTTTCTTTGGTCCTAGGCATAGGCAGTCAGATGTGTCCTAGAGATTAAGTCTGAGGTCTTCTGACCTGGCGAGCAATACCCAGAGATCATGGGGGACAGAGGGTAGGGTGTAAATAGACAAACCAGGCAGAGCAAGATAAAAAGGGCTTTTGTTTCCTGTTTTTAACCTAATAACCCCTGATACAGTATTGAACTGTGCACACTTTGATTACTTTTATGTATATAAGAATGAGATTTTGCTGTGAGTCCAGTCACCATTTCTGCTCAAAACCATGGTTTCTTTGTGTGGTCGGTGAGTCCTTTACGCCTACAAATGGGAGCAAGCTGGGCACACAGGGAGATTAGTAATTGTCTACTGATGGCCAGATGTGAGAGTGACTGACAGTAATGGTTGGCTCTCCTCCTCCTGTTGGAGAGTAGACTAGGAAGCCAGAATCAAAATAGCAAACCTAGGGGACTTCCAAGTACTGGGCTTTAGTCACTGCTTTAGGGATTAATTATTTGGGCAGATTTTGTGATGTGCAGTGATTCGATCACCAGCTCCTGCTCTCTCTATTCCTGAACATTCTTCCTGCAGGTGAATATTGCATGACATTACAACCTTTTGCATGTTTGTACTTGGTGCACTGAGTCCTCAAGCTAAAGGCTTGTTTCCTAGGCCTTGCACAGGATCCAGCCAGAAATTGTGCAGGAGCACTGCCTGTGACAGTTAATTTTACCTTTACCCATCTGAGAGGCCGTTCTTCCCAGTTTCAGATGCACAAACAAGGCACAAAGAGTGGTCACCTCAGCTCCATAGCCAGACTAGAACAGAGGCTGCCTGTTTCCAAAGCCTGTGTGTGCTTTGCTGCTCTAGTAACCAGTTTTAGCCAGCCCTGGGGAAACCCCTTTCAGAATCTATCTGTTCGTTAGCAGAGATTGTACCACTAGCAGTTGAACTAAAATGCCTTTGAAAACACAGGAAAACCGCATGCTTTAAAAAGGAATGTTTATAGCCTGGAGTAGTAGAACATGCCTTTGATCCCATCACTCTGGGAGGCAGAGGCAGGCGGATCTCTGAGTTTTGAGGCCAGCCTGGTCTACAGAGTGAGTTCCAGAATAGCCAAAATTACACAGAGAAACCTTGTCTTGAAAAAAAAAAAACAGAGAGGGGTGGGGTGGGGGGATACTTAACAGATAAAGTCAGAAGTAAAGCGTTCAAGTGTAGTGTCGTTTTCTCAAATCTCACATCAAAAAGTAAGCCTCACAGACAAGTTGTAACTGGAGCCCTACAAGGCAGACACCTACTACTTTTAAAACAAGCTTAGAGTCAGCTCACTCACAAGGAACCTCAGGGCCTCTCCCTTTTTGTGTTCGTTGCTTTTCCAGAAGAAATGAGGGGAACTGATGAAGGAGAGTCTTATGTTGAATTTGATGTTTTTGAGTTTGGTATCATAAGATCAGCCAGTGGGTCACAGCCAGTTTCTTCATGTCAGAACTCAAAATTTTAAATTCCTTGTCTTTTTGTTTATTTTGTTGTAATAATTTCTTTTCTTCATTTATATCATGTCTATACCTTCCTCAGCCCCTTCCAATTCCTCCTATGTCCCCCCACTACTACTCAGATTCTTGACCTCTTTTATTACTGTTACACACACTCACATACACAGGAAGAATAAATG